TGTCCCAGGGGCATCCATTGTGTTAGTTTCAGCCATTGTCTCATGTCATAAATTTTACTATTTTGTACTTTATCCTACAGAGTCCAGGCTCAGAATCATTAGTAAGTCATTCTACTTTAATGAAGTGGTCTGAAATATTTTTAGAGCGTGATTGTACACCAGTCATTGCTTCATATTTTGTGCTGAGGACTTTCAGATATCACAGCATCCTGATTTCTGGCTGGAACAACTTTAAACTTCTGAAATATGTTCTTCTGGCTCTTCTTTTGTTATTAGTAAATGGACAGCAAGTATAGATTGTCGCAAACACAACAAGCAGCGATGGAAGTTGAGGAGTTCTGCTACTTTTAGTTTTGTTATAGTGTATCTAAATTTTTTGATATTTTTTATGATGATAGATATACATGTACTGTGTACTGTTAGCAAATTTTATGCGTATGGTATTAAAAGTAAAAAAGATATCAAATAAATGAGAAGCTCATTAATTATTCATATTGTGTATTGTATTGCAAATAAAATTATACAGGCGTTTATGACTTCCGGTGCAGTTGGCGTATGGACTGTACAGAAGTACCCCTCTCTCTAATGGTTATAGTCCCTCAGAGATACTGATGAGCAGAAAATTACAGTCTAATATTCCATCTACTAGGGAATCGAGGGAACCAACTATTCCAGACAGACATGAAGTAGAAGAGAAAGATAAAAAGCAGAAATCAAATCAGAAATGTAATTATGATCATCATCATGGCTCAAGAGAATTACCAGATTTGGAACAAGGAGATATGGTCTGGATATCTAATATACAAGAGCAAGCTCAGGTACAGAAAAAAGTGGCTCCTAGATCTTATGAGGTAGAAACAGACAACAATGTTGTCTATCGACGTAATAGGAGAGATCTTGTTACTATGCCATCTCCTCGAGATAATGAAACTACAGAGACAAACACAGAACCAGTCATACCACCACTGATAAGAAGTACTCATAGTACCACAAAACCAGATCGATGGGATCCTAGTTATAAGTAACTCAAAGAAGGAAAGATGTAATGTTATAATTAAAGTTTATACACTATGCATACACAATTCCTGTACATGCTCAGTTAAGTTATTGATTTGTGTTGTTAACTTTAATATTATTACCATGGTAGTCACTGAGCGGTAAATGCTTGTAATAGCTGTGCCCTCTATCTTCTGCAATCCCAGCCTTATTCAACACAACCCAATATTACAAGAGGTATATTAAAGCTGTTACAGTACTAGCAAAAGTAGCATCCCTTGATATAGCTGGCTTTGCTTTATGTTATTAATATACTGAGTTTTGTTTCATAATTAGAAGTGCAAGTATTTATTTATGTATTATACAGCTATACATTACTCATGCTGAAGTAGCTTTCCATCTTGTAAAGCACATATACATTGCATAGACATGAATGCATATTAATAAGTTGAACACAAGAAAATATTAATGGCAATTTAATTTTGTGCAAGTGGACTGATAAATTAATTACTTCCTTATATTTTGTTGGGGTCAAAGTTTATTACTAAAACAGTAAATGCTCTTTTAAAATAAATTGACACGTTACTTTTTACAAATATA